CTTCCTGGCACCTAGCATTTTGTATATAGACGTTCAGACCTAGCCTGAGGGCAGGCACAGGTAGACAGACCAATCCATGACCTATTCACGATCCTGCTAGGTCAACAAGATCCCATCTATCATATCTGCATTGCATAACGAAGTCATGTATATCCAGGGTTGATGTGGAAATATTGTTCGCGCACAACTGAGCTTCTCGGCTAGTCCTTCCACACATTTTAGACATTCTTGAGGCATTCAATCACTAGAGCGTCGCATGTTGCTTGAGGTAGACATAGCGATGGCGGGTCGATTTGTCTGAAGATCGTCTTGAAAAGACATAAAATTCGACCGGAAGGCCAGGCATGGCTCTGGAAAGAAGAATGTGCGCAACCCGTGAGGGGTTGCCTCACCAGGCACAAATGCTGTTTGAAGCAGGGGGGAAGCACCATATCTCTCCTACTAAAGCGCAATTTCAAGATGTGTATATTTTTCACAAGACCTTAGGCCACCACTTCATTTTCGTGGCTGAGGCTTTGACCCGGTCAAGCAGCGGCTAATCGCCGAGGCGCCAAGTTTTGTGGCGCTTTCGTGCTGCGTCACCCGTGGGTCTGCATGGGCGGTTGCCTTGTGCTGCGCCTAGGAGGTAAGGCTGTGCGAAATCGCGCAATCCTGAGCCTGCAACGAAGCAGGTTGCGTTCATCACCTGTAGTCGTCGCTATTTCTCACCTCACAATCTGTTCTGATTGAGTTGGCTAGCATGTCTGCCACTATTCCAGGGGCATGGCCAACAAACGATGCCTTGGCAGAGGAGAGTTCGCCGAGTCATCCAAACCCGCAACACTTGCAGGCTCTCCGCGAATATCTTAATGACAGCGACTTACGAATCTTTCTGGGCGCTCGAGTGATTATTAAGCTTGCTAGAATGGCTGTCAATGTGAGTACTTCATTCGGTTGACTGGCTATGGTAACTTACAAGTACAGACCAGAATTGCTGTTGTTGACGAACTTCCTGAAGACTACAATTTTTTCCGCCAGCCGATCGTGAGTAAGATTGGGCGCGATACCCAGATAGATCCAAATCATTATTGGATCGCGATCGGCACATCAGACGAGATTATGACGCTACAGAAGAAGGGTCCGGCCGCACACCATGTCGAAATTTTGCGGTCTAGCTCGCTGTGGCAAATGAAGTTTTTCCTCGTAACTAGAGAAGAGAAGAGCTGGTGGAATCCAATCGGTTTCTCGTCGTTTCCACATATGGCTATCGAACTTCAAAGTTGGAGTTCTCAAGCAATCCATTGTTCCCATCTAGTGGCATGGTTGATGAATCTAAAGCGGTACTTTGAAAACTTCGATAGCAGCAGCCTTGTATTGACAGAAGGTGAGCTCAATACTGTGGAGGTATCCCTGGCTGCGACATAAGAATCTAATAGAGTCATCGACGGTTTACACAATATAGTCAAGTGGTATGCTGCTATTGTCAAGGGGTTGACAGAGAAAGGACGCCTAAATACTCAGTCTTTGGCCGGCAACATTCAATGACCAATGAAAAGTCTGGAAATCTGGTCGATTTTGCGATCTCGGCTTTGCCAAAACTGATTGTGGTCAATTTCCTATCGAGCAGCTTCGAACAAAGTATCAAGCGACGCCCTTCGGGGAGCCTTCACGGGTCAAAAATCTCCTTGGCTGTGGAAAGCGATCGAATGTAGCGATTGACTTATGGTCGCGGTCACGACTCCACAGCTTCAAACGAAGAGCTTAACTCAGATCTCTTTTGGGTCACGCTATTTCGATATAGTCGTTAAAGCGACGATGACAGAACACGTGCTTTGTTTGCCAATATCGTGCTTGATTCTGGGTTCCATCGCGTGCAGACTTCTCGTGAGTCTGCCTCTTTCATCTCTTGTTCCTGTTTAGAGCCGATTGTGTGAGTGGAAAGTCGTCACTTCTAGCCGATAGTGCCGCAAGAATTCTTTATTGTTACATTGGCCCGTAGTTTAGGTAGTCCCCTCGCGCTTGACATTGGCATGGTGTTTCAAAGTAAGTCTCCCCCAGTACGCCACTCCTGCCTTTCTGTTTGATGATGGAGGGAGGTGTTGCGCCTGAAACAGTTGCCGTTTTACACGCGCTTCAGGCGTTACCTGATTGCGCCTAGTGCCAGGAGGTCTTGCGACAT